CCGCCCGCCGCCCGTCGCCCGCCGCCCGCCGCGGGTTCGCGCAGCCGGCCTAGCCGCGCTGCAGGCAGGTGCCGCGAGTCCTGGCGCAACTTCTTCTCTTGGGGCGTGTGGGGGAAGGGCAGGCTGGATGTACTTGAGCTCCTCGACTCAGTCGGAACCTACCTGGGCTGAGGGTGTCTAAATTCTGCTGGGCGCAGAGCGCAGTCCTCCCTTCCGCTTGCCCTCCCTCCCTTCTTTCCTCCTCTGCCTCCTCCTCTCCTTATTCCTATCCTGGATTAGTTCCTGCTTTTTTTTGAGTACTTAGGCTACTGGTGCCATTTAGAAGTTTGGGTTCCTTCACCTAAAAATACACCCTTTTCAGCAAAAGAGAAGTCCCTGGTCAGTTCGAAACAATGTGAAGAATGCGCCTGTTGTGCAGTAATTAAAGGGAGAGTCAGAGTGTTGGAGCTGGAGGGCACCTTTGGCGATCATCCTGTCCACCCTCTAATTTTAGTTTGTTCTCACTCTGGAAGAACCAGAGCAGCTTTATTTCTCAGGGGAGGGAGTGCAAAGGGAAAGCTATGTTTTTTGTCCTGCTGAAGGGGAGAAATGCCCAAGTATATCAGTGGCAGGAAAAAAAAATAAAGACGAAAGTCATCTTTGTAGGCTTGAAGGGAAAGGAGCTCTCCGGAAAATGGTCCTTTCTGCTTTGGTCTCACCTGCGCTAGCATGGGGAAATGCTTCCAGGGCTGAGGCTCCGGCCCCCGCGTGCTCGGTGTATTCCCAGATGCAGTTGGCCGGCGCAGTGGCGTGCAATGTGTTAAAACTGGTTTAAAGAAAACTTCTGAGCAGGTGGATCCGGAGGGTCATCTCTCTTCCTCCCCCCCGCCCCACCTGTATCGTTTAACAGGCCTTGGAGGCTCTTTAAGAGCCACTGATAGATAACCTCAGAGGGGACAGTCAGACGCCCCACCTGGGCATCCAGGGAAGGCCCCTCCTTAAGCTGGGGCCTGCTTGGTGGAATGCACTGGGGCAAAGCAAGGAAAACAAACTTAAGCCTTGAAGGTAGATAGCAAGAAAGTTACACATCATCTTATTTCATCTCATGCTTTGAGATCCTTGGAGACAAGTCACTAAATAAATAGAGTATAATTTAAAGCTCACCCTAGCTGGGGAAAGTGTTTCTTTGCCACCAAGAAGCAGGTGCAGGTTTGCAGAGTTGGCCCCTCGAGTCCCCTCATTCCTAAATTCAGGAGGTGTCAAACCTTCATGTTCTTTTAATGGCTGTGGTTTCTGGATAGGTTTCAAGGGAAACCCGAAAAAAAAAAAAAAAAAAAGTCGTGAGTTCCAGGAGGCTGGGCTGGAGAGGGAAGCCCGAGTGCTGTGGCCCAGACTGCATTTGATAGGAAAACATACACCTTCAAGGTAACCTGATCGAGAAAGGCCGAGGCAGGGAGTGAAGGCCTGTTTCATGAAACGCGGGGAACCGAGGCAGGGAGTGAGGGGTGTCAGGAAACCGTGGCTCTCCCCACCGCTTACGGATTTCAAAAATTGGGTCTTTGGGAAGAGCTGCCTACCTGATGTTTGCACACCTGTATTTGTACTCATTCTGTTCTGAGGGGGCCCTTTCAGAGGGTGTGTGGCCATGAAGGCCAAGAACAACTTCTTCTCTTTCCCTTTCCTAAATTACAGGACTGAGGAGATTGTCTGGTTTCCAGCATAGTTTTCAGAAAGCATGTAAAGTGCCTCTCAGAAAGGGCTGGGGTCACACTTGGTCTTTTATTTAATTACACAAGTGTTATTTAACAACACAGGGCAGATGCAGAAGCAAGCACTTTATACTTTAAAAACAGTCTTTTTGGAATCACAAGGAATCAAGTAACTGGAAGACTTCTGTCTTTATGACACGAGTCACTTTCCCAATTTAAAAAAAATTCCTTTTTTTTTTTTTTTAATGGCCACACTGTCTATGGGATAGAAGGCTCCTGTTTTCCATTTCTCCTGAAAACAGTTGTGATTGACACGGAACCCATTGAGAAATACTTGCTAACTGTTTCGGCACAACAAGAACAAAAATCTGAGCTGTTTCTCCAACCACCTGAAACCTTAATTTTGGTTTCTTCACTTTGGTCTCTTATTTGTTCAAATGAATGCGAAGGGAGGGTGGAAAGGGCCCAGGGGAAACTGTACTCTGCTGAGCAGGCCTCTGTTTGGCTCATCCCAACTGGACATTGAAATGTCTCCCTTCTTACTGCTTTGGGATTGAATTTAACTGCTGTGTAAACTCAGTGCCAGTTGGACTGCCCAGTTGCAAGGAGCTAAAATAAGCAAGATTTCGGTTTTCATCATGACTTTAAATGATGGCTCCTAGACACTCCCAGGATGGGCCTGGCTCTCCTTGGGTGACCCAGGGGTGGTTAGTTCATTAGAACAGATCTGGGATTGCAGGCTGCTAGGAAGTATCATCCAGGACCGGTGGCAGTTTGGCTTATCCTTGAGTTCTGGTCACAAGTGTTCCAGGCAACATCTCTTATTGTTGCTGGGTCCTTTTTAGTTACCTTTTAGGGGCCGCGGCTTTTTGGCTTCTGATATGTTAGTGTGAGAGCCTGGAAATGAATACTTGAGGGCCCAAAGCAGACTCTTACTTAGGAAATTATTTTTATTACAGAGTTGCTGATGTCTCATCTTAGAGAAATAAATATTTAAGTGACTAAGCAACGTTTTATAAAAGTATAGGGAATTGCTTCTGTTACTTGAAGACAAAGCCAGTTGTATACTTTTGAAGAATAACTAGATTTTTTTCTTAGCCCATGGGGTTTAGCCTTGACCTGCGGCGGGGAGTGGTGTTGCTAGCCCAAAGAAGCTTGTGCCAGCCCCATCTCGTGCACATCAGCGCTGCAGGGATAATGGACCTGATGCTCCGCAGCAGCAGCCTCAGCAAGCACAACCTGTGCTGTGGTTTATACTTTTATTTGTTATTAAAATGGTTGTTGCTGTTAGCCTGGCACATGTCTGTACTGTTTGGGCCTGTTGGCGTACTCTGGTTCCAAAGGCTGGTGTAATTAACCAGAATGGGGGTGTTGCCATAAAAACGCAACAGGATGGCAGATTCCATTACAGTGAACTTCATAGAGTTATCCACATGGTCTGGGATGAAAATTTGGTTGTAATGGTTATTGTTAGAAATCCCAGCACAGCTCAGAATCGCTCTCCTCTGCCCGAGTTAAAAAACTGTGGCTGGGGAAATGGGAAACCAGTTTTAATAGAATCCAGGGAAGGGAATTCCTTTGCAAGAGTGACACACAGATCCTAAAGGTGCTTGTTTTTGTCCAAAGCACAGTGTCCTGCATCCTTAGGTCACTCAGATTGAGAAACAAACATACAGAAGTTAAGGTTTCATCAAATTGCCCCAAGGGAGAGACCTATGCAGAAATCTTGGCTCATTGGCAAGCTGCTTTCAAAATCCAGATTAAGGAGAAAAACTACCAAATCAACAACTGTCAGATTTGTTTTCTATATGATTTAAAGTTGGCTGCCAGACTGTTCGCTTTGAACATGTGGGAAGTGACAATCAGATGTTAGAGGGCTTTTTTCCTCCCTTTTTTCGGTTAATATGGTAAATGACTCCTCTGTGAACAGGGAACTGGGGACAGAGGGAAAGCAAAGCTTAGCTCCGTTGACAGCAGCATTGTGTTACTGCTTCAGAAGCAGTGACACAAGGGGAATTTCTTTTTTTTCTCCTGATTTTCATTCACTGGGTCAGGGGACAGGGTGGTGAGGACAAGGCAGTAGTCTAGCAGTGACAAGTGTGTTTCTAGAGAGTTCTTTGCCTAAGGAAGTTGCCCTGCTTGTAACACTTAGAGGTGATTTTTTTCTTTGATGTCTGCCTTTCTTTTACCCTTAATTCCTAGCACTTCTTGCTTTTGCAAGAAAAAGGTTGCAAATAAAAATGGAGAAGGAAACAGAGAAAGTTTAGGAGGTGGTAAATTTGATCATTTCAGCGCAGGTCTTCTGTTTTGTTAGTTTTTAACCCTAGTGAGGGCCTTTTTAAAGCAAAATGCCTGGGCTTTATCTGCCTTCTGGGCTGGCCCTGCTACCTTACCACTAGAGGGTTACCAAGCTGCTTGTCATCCTGAATATTAATGGGGTAGGGGTGGTGATATTACCTCCAGAGGGGCCTTAACTGGTCTCTGTCCTGGGGAGGGTCTAAGTGGCTCAGCTGCCCACTCTGAATTTTGCTTCTCAGATTTGTCCCCTGCTTTCCCTTCGCTGGTGTCAGGTCTAAAGCTTCCAGGAAAGACCAGAGTGAGGTCAGCCAACTCTGTGCTACCCTCCCACCCCCTGCCCTTTCTGGCTGCGGCTGGTTGGCTCCTCTCTTAAATGATCATCTTGACTTTAATCTCAAGTAGGCTTTTTGGGGCAACAGTTAGGAATGTACGGAGTATCTTCAGTCATCAAGGAGATTCCAGCTGGAACTGGGAGAACTGGCTCCATGGGGCCCAGTGAAAAGACAGTGGAATTTTCATATGAGGCTGATTTCATGCACTGTCCTGAAAGTGATTTTGACTACAAACCTTTGATCTGGGAGTGAGACCCCTGCCCCCGTACTTTTGGAGGCAGCAGTTGCTCACTGCCTAGACCTCCTATTCTTTGTATATTGGGGAGAGAGGTGTTAAAGAGTAGGGTTGAGTACTTGAGTAGGTGACCAGGGGTGGTTGAGCATCACGGGGGCAGGAGACTGGGAAGGGGCAGTGGGGCTCCTTAACTGATAAGAAGGGCTGAACTTTGAGGTAGGCAGAAGAGGAGTTTTGCTTGTTTTTTGGTTGTTCCTGACTCTATCCAGGAATGTGACATGTTCTGAGAGTATTGGTTGAGCTAGATTTTGATAACCCGTCCCTGTGCGTGTCCATCATAGGCTCTGCATTTTAGTATTGTTTCAGTCTGGAGTGCACATGTGTCTTCTCATTTGAGCTTCCTCCTGATCAGAGAATGGGTTGAAGTCAGATGAGCTGAGTGTGGAAAAGACTGCGGGTGGGGCTTAATTCAGTATCTCATTTCAGCCTTGAAGCCCCCAAAGTCCTATAAGTGCCTGTTCAAATACAGAAGTCGCCTTTTGCTGTCTAAAAAGCTCTTTTTTTAAAAGCGCATATGCTCCCGGAAGTCTATAAAAAAGCATGTATGTGCAGACATGAACTTATTTGCTTCCCACACTTACAGTCTCTGAGTGGCCTATTTTGGACCTCTTTGCTCTTCCTGACAACTTTGTCCAGTGGAAATATGCTAAAGAACACGTGGGTGCTTTTTTCTGCTTCTCAGCAACTTTTTTTTTTTTTTAAACAATTTTTCTTAACTGCTCAAGAAACAATGCAAGCCTCTTCCACCGTTTCAGGCACTGCTTCCTAAAATGCACTTTGGCTCAGGGCCTTGGTTCTTAATGTACATTTGGCTGGTCGGGGGAGTGGATTTTGCTTTCCTTGTAACAGCTCCACTATTTCTCTGTGGAATATCTGTATCCTTGTTAAAGTGTCAAGTCAACTTCTGGACACATAAGCAAGAGGCCCGTTGATTTCAGCATGTGTGTTAGGGGGTTGATGTCACTCCTAAAGCAGCAGCTTTTAACTGCCATGTCTGTTTTGCCAGGTTCTCCAATGGTGTCACTTTCTTTTATTTGATAGACAGTCATTGCCGGGAGACGGGTATTCTTGAAGCCCTTCAGTGTGTGCACCTGACTCTGTGAGCATGTGTTTTGTGGGCCCAGGTCGCTAACCTTTTCTGAAGATAGTATTTTACCCACTTGTGAAGCGTAGTTCCAGGTAAAGGCTGGCAGAAGTGAAAATGTTAGGGTGTCCCCCCACCCCGACTGCTGCCTCATTCCTTTTTCAAAGAGGAAGTTAAGCTCCATATTCTTTCAACAGGTATCTCTGGTGGAAAGCACAGAACTTTTACAACATTTAGGAAAAGACTTGCAATGTATTTTGCCCTTGCTGTAGGAAACTAACTTGCATTGTCTAGACAATGGAGAAGCTGGATGACCAGAAGTCCTGCTGCAAACTTCTTAATGGCTGCGGGGAAGGGATGGTTTTCCTCAGAGAAGGCCCTAGTTCAGGAACGGAGTGCCATTTGTGAATTATCTCTTGAGACAGGGACTCCTGGTGGCTCGCACTGCTGAGCTGAAGCTGTTTGACTTTGAAACAGTCACTTAATATATCTGAGCCTCATTTATTTCATCTGTGAAATGGGCATGCTATGTACTTCTCCTCTGTAGTGGGAATGCAGCGAAATAGAAAACAGAGCTTCATGGGACTTAGCAATTTTGGGTGACCTCTCCACTGAGTTAGGTCTCATCTTGTCTTTTTTCTATTTGGTTCCTGTTGACAGCCTCCGCTACCTTTCATTTCCCAAAAGCCTGTTAGAAATCAGTGCAGAGGTCCAGCATTTCTTCTGCTTTCCCCTCTGGGCTAGTAATAAAGCCAGCCCTTTTTGACATCTTGCAACTGTGATCAGGGGTGCAAGGGTCTGTAGTAGTGACAGTGTCCCCTGTCCTCCCCAGCGCTCCCCAGCCTTGGAACCACATGCCCCCCTCCCAAGCTGGCAGACAGCCTTCTAAGTGAGCAGCCCACTCAATGACCCACCTAGAGAGGACTTCCCGGGCTGGCTTGTATATGCTAATAGGCCTGACTTGTCCTGGCTTGTTTGTAGTGATTTGTGGAAGCATTTATATGCAAATACTATCAACTTGCTGAGTTAATTATCATGTGCCTCCTCCTACCCCCTCCTGCATTGCCTCCCAGTCTGGCTGGCCTGTTCTCATTCAGCCCCGCATTCTTGCCATCTTTGCCTCTTCTGTCAGTTGCTCTGTAACCTTCTTGTACCTGTAGGCCTGGTCCCAGCTCCTTCACTGCTCCGTTGACTGTCTCAGGAACCTGGGCCTCGCCGCATGGTCAGACATTGGCGAACTGGGTGTGCCAGTGGCTGGCCAATTCCAACACTGCAGGAGAGGCACCTGGTACATGTGAGTGTGCCTAGCTCACGTGCTCCGAGCTTTGAATCCCATTTTTCCCAGCTGCTGTGACAAACAGCTG